ACTTAAAACATACTGCCTTCGCTAATTTTATTTTAGTTTTTTTTTTGTTTTTTTAGTTTTGTGGTGTAAAAAGTTATATTATGGTATAAGGACTGTGGTAAAAATTCAACATACTTTTTTACCTGTTAAAAACAGAAATACAGGTTGCGATTTTATGAAAAACATATTTTTAGTGACTTTCCTATGAAAATGTTTGCTTTTGCAATAATATAAAATAATATAGCAATCCGAAGGAAATGAATAAATCTTATACACACTTCAATTAAATAATCTGAAGTTATTCCAAATGTAAAAAGCAAAGATTTGTGTGAATTATTTAAGCAGACTACGGTAGAGAAATACCGCAAACCCAATCTGAAACTAAAATGCATCGCTCCTCACTAGGACGATGGGCTTTTGAAATAGGCCTCCAGTTCTAGCCTGTGATTGCACCATTTTTATGCCTGCAATATAAAACGCTATGGCCGTGACTCAAATATATAACATTACTATCCACTAATCTGCGATCTAAAAATAATCTGAGTGCTGATTTAAGACAAATACAATTATAACCCTTTAGTTTTTAAGTTTAAAATAACTGAAGTTTCTATTTCCATGGTGTCATAAATAGAATCTAGTAAACAGAGACGGACATTCTATATTCTTAAAAGTGATTTTACTAATGCTTCAAGATTACATATTTCTTGATATTATTTCTCCAAGTACTTGCAGTCACTTTGGATTTATGACTGATGGACGTAATCTTAACAATATAAAATACACGGATGATACTGTGTTGATAGCAGACACAAATAAAACGGTAGATATTTCATGACATAGTAGTAAAGGAAAGCGAGAAGAAAAGGATAACGATCAGTTGTAAGAAGACAGAGTGTGTGGTCATTAGCATGTGAGACGACCCAAGATGTGAACTACGAAGTGGAGGTGTCAAAACCAAACAAGTACAGAAAATGAACAATCTACGAAGTGTTTTAACAAAGGATAAGAAATGGGATACAAAACTCTGAAAGCATACTAGAATAAAGAAAGACGCCTTCTAAAAGCTAAACAAAGCATTAAGAATCAAGAAAATTTCGTTAGAAACAAAGAAAAGAGTGATGAACTGCACTATAATATCAATCCTCCTATATAGCAGGGAAAGATGGACAATTTCCTCACATATGAAAAGAAGATTTGAGGCAAAAAATATATGGCTCTACAGAAGGATGCTGAGAATACCATGGACGGAATATTTGAGCAACTGAGAAGTTTTATTGATTTATTCATTTTGTTAAAGATTAACAACCCTTGACCGGTTATTTAAAGCCAGAAAATATTTTTAGATTGTAAGAATTTTTTTTTAGATAATAATGATATAGTGATACAAGTCTTACTAAAAAGAACCATAGCTAGTGGGGGAGGAACAGATATTTGCGAGTAAGTGAATATAACGAACCCAACAGGAATTAGAACTCGGCTACCCGATTAAAAATTCCGAGTCATCATCCATTACACCAACCGCACATCCAAGTTTACAGCACCTGGTATTCCCAAGCGGTCACCTGTCTATGTACTAGCCAGGCTCGACGTTGCTTAACTTACAGGAACCAGTGTTTCAACGTGATTTAGCCGTAAGCCGAAGAAGAGGTTTTATGGGACATGGGAACAGAAAAGACAATTGAAATATCTCGAACTCATAATGAGTAAAAAGAAGGTTTGGAGAATTTAACACTCACGGGACATATTGGAAGCAAAGGGGCGAAGAGAAACATCGAACTTGTTAAAATGAATGGCACAACAGGGATTAGGAGTCATAGTAAGGTGGCAAATCTTACTGCTACGAAGGATAAGAAGTCGTGAAGCGCCATAATCATCTACAATCTGAAGGGATATAACACATAAAAGAAGACTGTCTCCAGGGAATGAAGGTGTTTTCAATTCGGGTGGGTGGTTGCTTTCTCCGGCGATTTATTTTGATTGTTTTGATGTTTCTTTTTTTTTTTTTTTTTAAATAAATGTCATTTGTCGTGATGTCATATTTTGCGTTTTAATTTTATCATCAAATATTGGAATAGGTTAACGAGCATGGGACAGAGAAAATGAAAAGATTGTTTTATAACTTTAGTTTTATTACTATAATTAACACAACAAAAACACGGACATAATTAAAAAGGAAATGAAGGAAACTATAGCTACAATAATTGGCAATAAGAAAAGAAAAAAAAACTATAGCTAACCAATTATCGCTCCATGGTGTATCCCTTTATTACTTATTAGTCAAAATTTTCCATCTTATATAGTAAACAAATAACTCCACCTGGATAAAAAAAAAAAAACAAGTTAGAGGGCGTATACTTATTATTCACTATCCAATCAAATTCGCCCGTTTGCAATTTAAATTTGGCTGGTTTGACACTATCGAAGCTGAGCCTAATTCTATAAATCTTTGCTACAGAATGTGTTAACCCTTTCGCTTTATTTTGGGGGATTTTTATTGCATCAATTTAGAGCCTCTTTTTTAAATCTTTACACATTAATTTTTATTCATGTTTTTTTTTTTTTATAAACGGTCTGGCTTCATTTTGGTGGTGTCTTTTTTATTCGAATTTTCTTAATTAGTTTTTCAAACAATTCAATATTATCTATTTCATTAAAAAATAATTTTTATATTAATTTTTACACATTCCAACATTTTTTTACTTTTTCAAACAATTTTAATATTATGTTTTACTAAAATAGTTTCTATATTAATCTTTAAACAATTCCAACAATTTAATTATTTTTTTCTCATACAATTCTAATATCGTTCTTATTAAAAAAATTATGCGTTAACTAAAAAGAATGTCTTTATATCGTGAAATATCAATTTACAGTATCCTTGCGTTAATAGTTTCATTTATTTCCAAATATTGACTGAACCATGTCTATAGGTAGCGTGAAATTCTCAAGTGTTGAAATCTGGACTATAATAAAATTCCTGTTCTTGCAGCAGAAAAATCCAAAAGAAATCCATGAGAGTATGATGCAAACATTTTGGTGATTAGCAGCAGAAATGTGGTGTACCAACTTCCCGCATGGAGACTTTGAGGCCCGAAGTTTGGTTGGTGGACAAACATAATCCAAATGAGTTGCTGAGACAGGGAAAACGTTAGGCTTTTAATTCCTCAGCAGTAGGGCATACAGAAGTTATTATACAAGTAGGTACCAAAATATTTGAATGCTGACCAGAAACGATATCCAGTGGACAACTCTAAGTTGGTTTGGCAGTCTTTTCCTTGGTCTAGTCATAATATTTTGAGAACAACTTATCACTGTTGATCAGTGGTCCCCAAACAGTGCAGCGCGTTTTATAGGTGCGGCAGAAGAGGATAGCAGGTGAGGCAGAGTGATTGAAGAACAATCAATAATTTAAAAACAGTTTTAAAAACTTCATATGCTAAATAATAAATATGATTTCAAAATTTAAAATATTATTATGGATTACTTGTAACTGCATGCATGAATCCCAGCATAAACAGTTATAAATAATTATTAACCGATTTTATCATTGTGATATTTTTGCATTATATCAAGTATTTTTAAGAATATAGTAACTAGGATCCTCAAATTGGAGGGGAGAGTTATTAATGATAATGTTCTGAAGTACGAATCCGCGGTTATCTCCCTTTAACATTTTCTATAGACCTCCTTTATCCTGTTTGCGCCTTTTCACCGGGATTTCCTTTCCCGAAATTACTCGTCAAAAACAAGAACACACTTTTAATTAAATTGTCTACTTTAATCATATTATAAGTTATTTGCATTATATATTATACTTAACCCACTATTAGTCCTTTTTTTTATTTTTAAAATGTACTTTTTATCACATAAAATTTAGTGAGGCGCGAAAAAATCTAATTCAGAAAATACGGCCCAGGGAAAAGAAGTTTTGGAACGACTGCTGTTGATGGACTACTTATGATCCAAAGACAGAACAACAGTCCACAGCTGAAGAAACTGAAGATGCAAAAGTCTGTAAAAAAACGTTCATGCTCGAGATTCTGGGGGATATCGAAAATATTTTGCTCTCTATCAATATTTCAAAAAAAAAAAAAATAGTATATTAAATTGCTGCGCCGATTAAATTAGTTGTTGATAGAAAAACGGTGAGGGGAAAATTTCGTTAGATTCTTATTTTTACAGGACCATGCACTTATTCATAAACGATGGATATTTCGAAGAAATTGAGGTTTGAGTGCAGAAATTATTCACCAAATCTTGTCACGACTGAGTATTTCCTGGAAGGAAAGATATTTTCTAATGATTCAAAATTGGCGGCTGCTCTAGAGTAGTATTTCAATGGTTAAAAAACAGACTCTATTTAGTTAACGAAAATAAAAAATAAAAAAAACATGTATCAACTAGGCGGAAATGTGGAGCGAATATGTAGAAAGTATATAAGTTTCAGTGTTCAATGCAAATTCCTTTTTGTTCCGGCTGAGAAACTTTCAGCATCCAATCGATCGCCAGGAATTGGACTGGTTGACGAGATATCCCATAAGAAATTTTTGGCGTACTTTTATTTTAATTTATTTTATTATATTTTATTTATTTATTTCCCTTTTTTTTTTTTTTTCTTTTTTTATCATCATTATTATTATTATTATTATTTTTTTTTTTTTTTTTTTTTTTAGCAGAAAACCAAATTCTGGTCTTGGGAATGTGTAGATTTTAACAAAAGTTATGAAAGCAACGACTGTTTGTCTCGTAGCCGCTAACGAGATATCTCAAGATTTTATTTATTTTTATTTATTTATTTATTTTATTTTTGTTATTTTTTTTATTTTTTGCCCTGGTCTACTGTTGAAAGGATGTAAACACAGGCAAGATAACGAAAGAAAGTGGTGGAGACAGAAAGTGTAACTGTGCTCACTTGACCCACGATGAACACGAGAATGATAAGGGTAACCAGTTTTACCAGGCAAATGTTTGCGTTTCTGTTTTCTTTTTATGTGCCATGTCCTTCCAGGACGTAGGCGATCATGTCTCTCCACCTCCTTCTATCCCTTGCAGCTCTCAACAAGTTCCTTCCCTCTGCTTCCTCCCACAGACCACGTTCTGTCATCCACTTGCTTAAGCCTGCCTGGTATATCACGCGTTGTTTTCCCTTGTCTCTCTTTCCCTCTATTCGACCCGTGAGTATCAGATTCTCCAGGCCCTCTTTCCTCAATATGTGTCCCAGAAACGTCAGATGTCTCTTCCTGATGTTAAATAAAAGCCCCCTCCTTGTTTGCATCCTCACTAAGACCTCATCGTTGCTCACACGCTCGTTCCAATTATATCCTTAGCATCCTTCTGTAGAACCACATCTCTGTCGCCTCGAGTCTCTTTGGAGAAAGTCGTCCAACATTCGCGGCCGTAACGAAGGGCAGATGCCACGTAACAGCTCAGTATTCTTTTGTTTGTTACCAAAGAGATCCTCCTGTCTCACGGCACTCTGTCCAGCTTTTTGAGTGTGTCCTTGGCCATCCCAATACGTCTACGGATCTCAGTGTCGCACTTACCATCCTCCGTCAAGACGCTTCCCAGATATTTAAACTTCCGCGTCTGCTTGATTCTAGAGTTCCCGACATGCAAATCGCATTTCGGGCTCATTCTCTTACCGACGACCATGCATTCTGTCTTCTTGTAGTTTATGCTTAGTCCTTTCTTCTCCTTCCCCTTTGTTGCCTTCTGTAGAAGATTTTGTAATTTCTTTTCCGTGTCTGCTCGGAGTACTGTGTCATCCCCGTATCTTATGTTATTAAGATTGTGACCGCCAATGCTAAATCCCGGTAGAGTTTCCAATTTAATAAATTTCATAACACTAAAATACATCTGTGTTATTGTCATGCTTTACCTCTTTTGGTGCATTTGACACATATAAAAATGTTTTCGGAATATTAAAAGCGGAAATAGTTGTCAATATGAAAAAAATATGTCTCCATGATTAATTAGATTATACACATCATTTTTCATTTGAAGTTTTTTTTCTTTTTTACGCAACGTTTTTGGACCCATGAAAAAGGTTTCTTCCACTATCATCATCACGAGATTGGTTCTTCGACAATCACTATCAACAAAGACAAGAATACCTCCACAGATAAGGGAAATAGATGTCAACATTGAAGAGTGTCACCCTTTGTCGAGGAGAAGGGTCAACAAATTCTCGAGACAAGGTTCAAAGATGAGTACATCCCCCTGCAACACTTTTCAGGTATCGAACGCTTTTATCTTATCATCTGGGATATTCGACCAGGCTGCTTTGAGGGTACAAAGTTTATCAATCTAAAATGGTTCAAAGATGTTCGAAAGTATTCATATTAGAAGATTGGCTTGCAACGAGAATTGCTTAACTTTTTCTAGACTTGCTATTCTCGAATCTCTTTGTTGTCGCATAGAGCTCTCGCCTCCGTGAAGAGTCAACTGCTTTAGTCTAAATAAGTAGCAGTGAATACTAGGTTCTCTCAATTACAAAATAGAGTATATATATATTATTATAGTATGTAATTTTCTGAATTAATATTCCCCACAAAGTATAAAGAGTCTATTTGTTCTCCATCCTTCTTCTTTTCCTTCATGACATAAGCGATTGGGGCTTTCCACGGCTTCTTTTGTTTTTCATTTCTGTGATTATCAGGATTACTCTTGAGGAAGTTAGTCAAATGGTTTCCCGTTGCCTTCTTTACGGTTTTGAATTCAAATTTATCCTTCAATTCTGGCTGCCAACTAAAGCAAGTTTGCTTTGCTATTTAACCCATAAGAGGGTGAATGAGAATAAGTAATAGCCTATGTTACAAAAGTGCCTCATGACTGTTCTTGGGTTGATTTCGACACATGCTTTACCTATTGTTTTTCCACGGGAATATTTTCGAATCTTATCTCATGAAAAAATCTTTCTGGGGGTCGACTTGAACGAGATGCTGTAGATTTCTCCCTTCTTTAGTGTGACGGGAAAATCACGCAGTTTCACAGTTGAATGTGAAATTCCGAATTGCGAGGCTATTTGACATTGGTTACTTCCCCTTTCAGAATGAACAAAGTGTGATTTTTTTTTTCAACCGCTAAGAATTCGATTCTCGTGAATTACGCCGTATTGGGAAGTGATTGAACAAAGCTCTTGAGTTTGTCCGTTTTTTTTTTGTTTTTTTTTTGTTTTAAATAGAAAATTTAATTGTAAATAAGCGTATTTTTATTGTCACATATGAATCGAATTATTTACTTATGTCAACGTTAAGTCGTTCGCATCTCTCTTTGTGTGATTGATTGATTGATTTGTTATTTTACGGTTTATCAACCTTTTGTGTATTATTTAAAGCTGAAATATATTTCGGATTGTAGAAGGGCGCTTACAGTACACGGCGTTCAAGCGGTTTTCCGTCTAAGTAGAGAGAGCTTTGTTGGTTGGTTTTGTTTAGCGGCATATCAACACCTCTATGAGTTATTTAATATCGAAATTTAAATGTTTTGAACACAATTTTATGGCTTCAACTAAGTATAGTCTGAACATGATTCTATGCTCTCAACTACAGATAAAATGTATTGTTGGCTATTTTACCACAAAATGTATTGTTAGTAATTATCTATAAATATGTATTATTGGTAATTTTACTATAAATATATATTGCTGGTAATTTTTATATAAAAATGTATTGCTGGTATTTTTACTATAAAATGTATTTTTATACTTTCATAATATTTTGTTTTTGTTTTAGGGTTCTCTATTTGCCCATAGCTGGGACCCCCAACAGGCGCTACCACATCAGGTCAGAATGGACAACAACAATTAAGATGTAATTCTACGTTTCCCAATAACCCCAATCTCCCGACCTGGGGCCTTACTGCCGAATGTACTTTATCATTATACCCAGGACTACATAGACAGGACTCGACACTGCTTAACCCCGGCGATCGAACGAGAACCGGTGTTTTCAACATGATTTGACCGTAAGCCCCTTTTTGAAAATCGCGCCGTGTCTGCATTTTGTTCTCCGCGTACTACTGTGATTAATACTTACTTTCCATCGATACTATTTAGTTTTTAAGGAATCCCTATTGGCCTACATACGTCAGTGAAAAAAATAAAATGTTGGCATTCAAGGTGTTAAAAAGAAATCAACGTCTTTACTTTCGACATTCTTTTAAAAGGGAACCAGTCTCTGCTTTTCCTTAATTCTCATTCCATAAACGCCTTTTTTTTTATTTTATTCATTTATTATTTTTATTTCTTTTCTTATTCTGTCGTCAGTTACTTCATTCCTTCCCCCAAATTTTTTATTGGGTTACACTCAGTCCTATATTTTTTTTTGTAATTGGGTTAAGAAGCTACACTATTTTTTTCTGTGACACTTTTTTTATATATATATATACATCACTCACCTATTCCTTCCACTCATATGTGTAAAGCAGAATAACACGCTGTCGACAGATGAGCAAACAGACTAGTATTTCCAACACTATAAATCGAGACTTTTAATAAAACGGATTGTTTAAAATTACATCCCTCGGATCTATACTGTATGTGGTTAGGCTTGATGACGTTTAAAACCGTGAGATTTTACCACCGCAACTAAATCTTCGATATCGTACCTTTTGGATTTTTTTTTTGTTTGTTTCGTTTTGTTATTTTTTATTTATTTATTTATTTATTTTGCGACAGCCCGCTCGTGAGTATTTGAAGATTATTTGTTTATTCTTGACTCCATTTACATACGCACAATCACAATCTCTCTCTCCCCCTTCCCCTCTCTCTCTCTCTCTATATATATATATATATATATATATATATATATATATATATGTCACCTTCTCCCCCTCTCTCTCCCTCTCTCTCTATATATATGTCACCCTCTCTCCCACCCTCTCTCTCTCTCTCTCTCAATATATATATATATATGTCACCCTCTCTCCCCTTCTCCTCGCTCTGTCTCTCTCTCTCTCTCTATATATATATATATGTCACCCTCCCTCCCACCCTCTCTCTCAATATATATATATATATGTCACCCTCTCCCCTTCTCCTCGCTCTGTCTCTCTCTCTCTCTATATATATATATGTCAAACTCTCTCTCTCTCAATATATATATGTCACCCTCTCTCCCCCTCTCCCTCTCTCTCTCTATATATATATCACCCTCTCTCCCCACCCCTCTCTCTCTCTCTCAATATATATATATGTCACCCTCTCTCCCCCTCTCCTCGCTCTGTCTCTCTCTCTATATATATATATATATATGTCACCCTCCCTCCCACCCTCTCTCTCTCTCTCTCTCAATATATATATATGTCACCCTCTCCCCTTCTCCTCGCTCTGTCTCTCTCTCTCTCTATATATATATATATATGTCAAACTCTCTCTCTCTCTCTCAATATATATATATATGTCACCCTCTCTCCCCTTCTCCTCGCTCTGTCTCTCTCTCACTCTATATATATATATATGTCACCCTCCCCCCTCTCTCTCTCTCTCTCATGTATGTGTGTGTGAGACCCTCTCTCCCCTTTCTCCTCTCTCTATCTTACGCTGTTTTTTCTTCTTAACTCGTGGAAGAACGGGAAGACCGACCGAAAAAGAAAAGGAAGCTCGTTAAAGAGAAAAGAAAGAAGGAAAGCAAGAAAGAAAGAAAAAAAAAAACGATCACAAAGGTAATTATTACTCATTTAATTTTACATAATGCATTTCGTGTAAATAACTGTCGTAAAATAATAGATATGCCCTCCGGTTAAATAACGTTCTACATTAAAAGCATGGAATATATACTCAGTGCAACTTGTGAAAGTTGCCAAGTTTATAACTTAAGTAATGCAGAGTAAAAGCCAGTAAAAAAATTGTGTGTGTGTGAGTGAGAGAAAGTGAGAGAAAGTGAGAGAAAGTGAGGGAAGGGGACGTTAAAAGTAATAACAGCAAAGACAAAGTATCAGTTTCCAGTATTATAATTACACATAACGTTGTGCACCTGATTACCATTAATCTCGACGGTTATATAGTTGTTTTTTTTTATTTCAATAGCATTATTATATGCTTTTCCTAAACGGACATGTATCTTCTTGTATGTTATTGTTATTCAACCCCCCTTCTCCCCTCCCACAACGTTTCGGGCGTTGTATTGTCAGTCCTTCTTCTGGTGTCTGTCGTCGTGCTAGGTAATGTCGGATTTTTTAAAACTCTTTATTCAATCCAAGTGAGTAGGTCGTTTTCATTCTGCTTTTCATGCTTAGGTTATACTTTATGTCTATTAATATTCCACAGTGTTACTATCGTTTGTGGTGCTTCATTGTTTCTTCCACTAATTAAGAATATAGAAGACTTTGACACTACCAGACAAGGATTGAACAAGGATTCTGATATAAAGTATTTCTATTCGTTTATTTGTCTATCTGAGGTTCTTCAATATCTATCTATCTATCTATCTATCTATCTATCTATCTATCTATCTCTGTTATTTATCTATCTCTGTTATTTATCTATCTTTTTTTCTTTTCTTTTTTTTTTTTTTTTAAGCATTTCACTCCAAGCAAGGCGGGAAGCCACTAGGACGCAAGGGGTTACAGAAAATTTAGAGCAAGATTAGATAGGAGTGATAGAAGAAAGGATGAGGGTAGTGGATAGATCAAGGCAACTGGATATGTCGATTGACATTACACTTGAATAGCTGGAGATTATAGCTCACAGGGAAACAGGAGAAGGGAAGGGAGTTCCACAGGCGAGAGGTGCGAGACATGAAGCTATTAGAGTAGAAGAGACGGCTACATTTAGGAGTTTCGACAGTGAAGGGGTGAGAGCGGGATGCCAGCCTCGTAGGGCGCTGGAACTCATGACGTCTCATGACGAATGCAGCTCCTCGGAGCAATTTCCATGAAAATATCTATCTATCTATCTATCTATCTATCTATCTCTGTTATCTATCTATCTGTCTATCTACCTATATATGTCTGTTATCTATCTATATCTGTTATCTAAGTCTGTTTTGTATATATATATATATATATATATATATATATATATATATATATATATATATATATATATATATATATATATATAGGGTATCCATAAAGTTCGTATGCACTTTTAAAAATTTATAACTTTATTTGTATTTGCGATAGAAATAATCTGTAAAAAATGTTATAAAGTTTAATCTACCTAGTTTTAAGTATAGCTAAAATAACTAATGTGATTTCAGGCATTACTGTAAATCAGTTGGCAAATGTTTTCTGTGAACTGCAAAATCGCATTACCCTTTGTATTGCTAATAATGGATGACATGTGGAAACTTAAATAAAATTTCAATAAAACTTTAAAAAATATAGATTTACTTCTTTCTAATCCTTTTTACAAATTATTTATATCGCAAATACAAATAAAGTTATAATTTTTTTAAATGCACACAAACTTTATGGACACACTATATATATATATATATATATGTGTGTGTGTGTGTGTGTGTATATTTCAATTAAAAAGGTGCAAATATAATTTATAAATTCACGAATCATTCATACAAAAAAACAAATATAAGGGTTAATGATTTAAATGGCGAGAATACATCGTCGCAAACTATAAATAAGATACACCAACCCCGAATCTGTATATGAATGATATGATCCCTGTTTATAAATTCCAGTTGCATAAGGTCTTTTTAATTTTTACAAGTTTTCGTCTGTTCCTCCAGACATCATCAGGTATGGAAGTAGATTTTGTTCTTGTTTTCACTTCTCAGTAATAAGAGGACAACGAATATAGAGATGTAATCTGAAAAAATGCTATGAGAAATGTGTTATTGTTTTGGAACGTGCAGTCGCAACGCTGAGTTTAAATTTCAATTTTAAGGTTGTGCGTTTTTGTACAAATAGAGCAATAAGAGAATTCTTTTTTACTGGTAGATTTTCCGTGAATATGGCATGAACTATATTGTTCAATAATTACAGCAATGTCACACTTATTACCCGAGAGTTGCACGTTTATATTTGTTTTTGTATGAATGATTCATGAATTTATAATATATATATATAATATATATATATATATATAAAGGGAAGAGGTTATATATCCGAGGAGAGAAAAGTGTGTATATTCAAAAGAAGAGAGAAACCGCAAACGTTTTTGGTTGTAATGTGGATTTTTAAAAAAAATACATTATGCTTTATTTTCCATAATTTTGCTACACGAGTTTCCGGTCTCGCGATTTTCATCAGGCAAAGAGTGGATATTTCCACATAATATTAAATTAAAAGAAATTTCTGTTATGTTTTTCGAGGTTAAATATTCTCGATATTAGACATTCTCTTTTTGTGTGTTAGTGACCCAAATATCTTCCTTGAACTGGCAGTGAAAAAGTTCTGCGTGTAGGGTAATAAAACAATTAAGACTGGTCCGAGAAAGGGTTGGAAAGATAGCTATATTCTTATCTTTTAATGATTACTGTGTGTTCTTAGATCTATTTCCATTTTTTTGTTTTTTGTGTGTTTGTTTTTTTTTGTCAGCATGCGTACGTATACTCCCTCTCCATACATATACTGTCTTATTATAAGGAATTAGTATAAACATATGTACATATATACACATACACACACACACACCCTTCCTACATTGTATAGGGTTCGCGTATGTGGCGGTTACCAGTTTTGTTTTTGTCAATATGTGCATATATATACCAGTACGCGCATGTACATACGCACTCACTCTCTTTACATACATACTGTGTTATAAGAAATTAATATACATACATATACACACTTACATACACATATACATACATACACACACACACATACTTCCTATGTTGTGTAGGGTTTGCGCGCGTGCCTGTGAGCAGTCTATTGTTTTTTGCCAATACGTGTATACATATTCATGCTCCGCATATACCCGCGTGTGAGCGTGTGCGCATGAATGCGAGTGGAAATAGATCTAAGAACACACAGGGGTCATTAAAAGATAAGAATATAGATATCTTTCTCACCCTTTATCGGACCAGTCTTTATTGTTTTATTGCCCTTCACGCAGAACTGGCACACGAAAAAGAGAATGTCTAATATCAAGAATATTTAACCTCGAAAAACATAACAAAAATTAATTCCTTTTAATTTAATATTATATGGAAATATTCACTCTATGCCTGATGAAGGTCGCGAGACCGGAAATGCGTGTAACAAAATTATGGAAAATAGAGCATAATATATTTTTATTTTTTAAATATCCACATTACAACCAAAAAACGTTCGCGGTTTGTGTTTTCTTTTTATATATATATATATATATATATATATATATATATATATATATATATATATATATATATATATATTCTCAGCGTTTGGTGAAATAAAAAAATATTTAAATATAAATATTTATTTGTTATATTATCGTTTTTTACAGCGACCATTATTTTATTACCACCCCACTGTGTGTTATTATACGTATATATACTGTACTTTTGTATAAGTGAATAATATATATAATTACTCACTTATGCACAAATTTCAATGTTCATTATGAAAGACCCTATTTTTTCTAAATCTCTATCGCTCACTTTCTCTCCATTTATTCATATCTGAGTCACTTTCTTTCTCATTCTATCAATCATCTTCTGTTCATATCTGAGTTACTTTCTTATTCTATCTATCATCTTCTATTCATATCTGAGTCTCATTCTATCTATCATCTTCTATTCATATCTGAGTCTCATTCTATCTATCATCTTCTATTCATATCTGAGTCTCATTCTATCTATCATCTTCCATTCATATCTGAGTCACTTTCTCATTCTATCTATCATTTTCTATTCATATCTGATTCTCTCATTCTATCTATCATCTTCTATTCATATCTGAGTCACTTTCTTTCTTATTCTATCTATCATCATCTATTCATATCTGAGTCATTTTCTCATTCTATCATCTTCTATTCATATCTGAGTCATTTTCTCATTTTATCAATCATCTTCTATTCATATCTGAGTCACTTTCTCATTCTATCTATTATCATCTATTCATATCTGTCATTTTCTCATTCTATCTATCATCTTCCATTCATATCTGAGTCACTTTCTCATTCTATCTATCATTTTCTATTCATATCTGATTCTCTCATTCTATCTATCATCTTCTATTCATATCTGAGTCACTTTCTTTCTTATTCTATCTATCATCATCTATTCATATCTGAGTCATTTTCTCATTCTATCATCTTCTATTCATATCTGAGTCATTTTCTCATTTTATCAATCATCTTCTATTCATATCTGAGTCACTTTCTCATTCTATCTATTATCATCTATTCATATCTGTCATTTTCTCATTCTATCTATCATCTTCCATTCATATCTGAGTCACTTTCTCATTCTATCTATCATTTTCTGTTCATATCTGATTCTCTCATTCTATCTATCATCTTCTATTCATATCTGAGTCACTTTCTTTCTCATTCTATCTATCATCTTTTCATATCTGTATGTTGATATTCCTATTTTACTTTACTTTCATCTGTCTACTCAGAGATCTTTTTGGTGGCTGGGATAATTGTATCGACATCCGTATTCGCATAACTCTACTAATGTCCGTGTTCGGTTACTCTTTAATGAAAAAGCTTAGTAAAAACACATCCTCTTCAGTTGGAAGACCGGCGTAACAGTATTTTTCATCCGTCGTCCAGCAACTCGGGACATCTGTGAACTTATAAACACCGAAATCTTCTGGGTTCGTTCGTATTTGCTTTTCGTACTTGATTATATTGCTTTAAGTTTTAGCTAATATCTCTATTGTAAAACAATCTTAGTTTCAATTATGGTCATTCTAGTATGGCACAAGGTCAAGTACGGAAATGAGAGATTATGTTGAGCCAATATTCCAACTAGAAAGGATTTCCGTTGCAAGAACTACATAGTAAATCTTGCAGGCAAGATTAGCGCTACACGTTCTTTAAATTTGGTAAAGCTTGCATGGTTAGTTAGTAAATTAGCGTTCGAAATATCAACTTATGCTTTGTCTCGAACACTGACCACTAATCGAAAAGGTAAGAAATATGTAAATTATTTCCATCATTTGACATTTCACAATTTAATCGTCCGGAGTAAGACGATAAACTACATCCGGCATCAGGGTCTCTAATCGGGAGGTTTTGATGAGCGTTGAACCACCTCTTAATTGCTGGTGTTCCCAGGTCCATCCTAACTCGGGGTGGTGCTACATGCTAGAATCCCATCTAAGGGCACATAGTTTACCCCCCCCCAAAAAAAAAATCTGGGGTTAAAACACTATGAAAGTATAAAAATAGAATTTTTTGTAGTAAAAATACCAGCAATACATTTTTGGAAAAATATTACCAGCAATAGATTTGACATTTCGACAAAAACCCTCTTTACAAAAATATGTCAATGAACTTGATCTACAGACTGATTTCTTACAAAGGGTACATATTCTATTCATACGAACTTACCCTAAAAATCTTGACGGCATTAAATAACCCATTGAGATTGATAGATACGTAGAACAAAATAAACCCAAACCATCACAATCTCCATCCATTTACATGTGTGTTAGAGAGGGTGAAAGAGAAACTGACAGTGAGAAATAAAGAGAGAACGACGATACTTTTTTTTTTTTATCTAGTCTTATATTTTCTGTATATATTCTATAGAATAAAATTAAGTTTTCATACGAGAAGAACATTTTCGGATCTTTTGTGACCGTCGAATGGAAAACTACCAACATTAAGAGACAAATTAATGTGCAAGTTGCGTGGATATGTAATTTTCTGCTATTATACTCTGATTTTTGACGTCCTTTTTTTTCTTCTTTTTTAACTATTCACTATGCAATTCTCGTTTATTCTTTAGCAAATTTTGCTCGCTGAAAAAAAAAAAACTATTATGTTTATTAATCTTTCAATGATTAGAGAATACTTCAGACAAAAACTTGCTCTACATTCTCCCCTGCTCTGCAAGACATTCAAATCAAACGTTTCTTATACAACACAAAGCATTATTTATTACTAACTAGCAATTAACCGTTATATACCGAGTAGGATTTCTAGAACGTCCATTCATTCTTTAAGAAAATAACACTGGAAAATCAAATTTAAGAAGGAAACAGATTTCAACATTTCAAAAGTACATTTAGCCTGTGACAGCATTTAACGAATATTCTTTTTCTATGTACTGTATCCTATCAGGATTTTGGCGATCATGGCTCTCCACAATATCCTGTCTTTTGTAGCACTTAGTAAAGTTTGTTATTTTTGTTAATCCCAGTTCTGCAAAACATTTACAAAAAATTCGTTAAGTAGGTTATGCACTGTTTTCTCCCTTGCCTTCAATATTTCATGTGAGTGTCAAATTCTCCAAGCTCTCTTTCCTCGTTATGTACCCTAGAAATTTCAACTGTCTTTATCTGATGTTAAGCATAATTTTCGTTTTTGTTTCCATTTTCTCTAAAATCTCGTCGTTTTTCACATGTTTGGTCTATGGTATCCTCAGCATCCTTCTGTAGAACAATATTTATGTTGTTTCGTCTCTTCTCCCTCTGTGAGAAGATTGCTCATCATTCACTTTCATGTAGAAGGACTAATGTTACATAACAGTTCAGTACTCTTTTCTTTGTTTCAAATAAAATTTTCTTGTTTCTTAATATTTTGCTTGGCTTTTGAAAAACATAATCCGCTATTCCAATGTGCCTTCGAATTTCAGTGTCACACTTTCCGTCCTCTATTATAACGCTTACCAGATGTTTAAATATTTGTACTTTTTTGATTTTGTTATCCCCAATATGTAATTTGCATGTTGGGCTGTCCCTTTTGCTGACAACCATGGATTCTGTTTTTCTTTATTGTTTTTTTTATTTTTTTTATTTTTTTATTTTTTTTTTTTCACCAATCATAATCTCTTGGAATACATAAATTTGGTTTCTAAATTATTTTTAACATGCCGCCTTAAATTGTAGCAACATATCTAGATTCTTCTTAAGCATCCGATTAACTGATGTTTAATATTAGAAATGTTAAATATTGCAATATTCATTCTAAATAAGCTGTGAATGTTATTCACCTGTGTTTGAATTAAAATCACTCTAGCATTAACACTTAACAAAGAAACTTTGCCATTTGCATATTATTTGAGTGTCTTTCGGTATTAAATTTGTATGTTCGGCGGTTAAAATCAAAAAGGAAGTGATCAGGAATTAATACAAACATTATTGATATAATATGACTATTATATATACAAACATTATTGATATAATATGACTATTATATATACAAACATTATTGATATAATATGAGTATTATATACATAATGCAAATGTATCCCTGATGTGTTTACTATTGTAATACTCTTAGTAAGAAATGTAAAGGCAGTAGTCAAGAGGTTAAGCAAGAATTGCTGACTGAATAGGGCAGTTATAATGTATCATGCAAACATATTTGCAATTATTTCATTGCATAAATATACTGGTAATTATTTTACTGTAGAAATAGATCGGTAATTCAGTAAGAAGATGATTGCTAATGATAAGCAATGAATACCAGCGTTACAGACAAAATAGGGATATTATAGGCATAATTTAAAACCATTGGTAATTATTTTAATGCAGAAATTCATTGATAATTATTTTACAGCAGAAATCCATTGGTAATTATTTTACTAAAAAAATCCGTTGGTAATTATTTAACTACAGAAATCCATTGATAATTATTTTAAAACATAAAGCCCTTTGTAATTATTTACAGCAGAAATCCAGTGGTAATTATTTTACTGCAAAAATCCGTTAGTAATTATTCCAAACGAAATTTCATTGGTAATTATTTTTTTTATTTTATTTCATTGGTAATTATTTCATTACAGAAACCCATCGGTAATTATTTCACTACAGAAATCCGTTGGTAATCAATTTACTGCAGAAATCCATTGGTAATTATTTTAATGCAGAAATTCATTGGTAATTATCCTACAAAAGAAATTCATTGGTAATTATTTTACTGCAGAAATCCATTAGTAATTATTTTACTGCAGTAATCCGTTGGCAATTACTTTACTATAGGAAGCGTTATTGCAAAAGAACCGAGTTCATTTTCTGTATAATTGGCATTAAAAGTAAGAATATAGTATTTTTAATTACTGACACGAAATGTAATAGAAAATGTGCAGAAATCTGAAAGCATTGCTACCCAAAAGGTTACATGTGTAAATGAAAAAGCTTAATACGACACAAGATAGATGTATTTAAGAAGAGTGTTGCGCCAGGCCTTCCAATCGAGAAAAAATCAATTTAATGTTATAGACATATATGTAGTAAGATTTTTGGCGCTTCGGCGTTATGTAATGGTTAGCAATTTTTTCTCCCTAGATCAATTACGACTGAACAGTCCATCCTGGATATGACGATAAACTACTTCCGGCATCAAGACCTTTGATCGGGAGGTTTTGAGAAGCGTGGAGTCACCACTTAATTGCTGTTGTTCCCATTTCAATCTTCACCCGGTGTGCTAACACATGTTAAGGTCCCAGCTATGGGCAAATAGTTAACCCCAAACTTGGGTTAAGACACAACGAAAGTATAAAAATACATTTTTGTAGTAGAAGTTCCAGCAATGCATTTTTATAGTAAAGGAATTACCAGCAATATATTTTTAAGGGAAAAAACATATTACCAGCAAGGCACTTTTAAAAAACAGGAAAAAATATTATCAGTAATACATTTTCATTAAAAAAAAAGAAAAAAGATATTACCAGCAATACATTTTTTAAGAAAAAAATAACCAGCAATAGATTTTTGTAAAAGAAATTAAAATGCCCCCAAGAAAATTAAATTTCGGCATTAAATGACCCATAATGTGTTGATATGCCACTAAACAAACAAACAAATTTCATGTCACACAATGGTATATTTATTACTATAATAAGTTCGATTCTCACTCACGATGGTTCAGAACTCAGTGTTGCGAACCAATTCGGTCCTCTTTGGCCGCAACTCTTTTGCGACTTTGTACAAGACAGATATAAAGTTCATGAAATAACCATTAAAGTTCTAAAACATTTTTTTTTACTTCTGTTTGCTTACATTTCGCTTTTGGGCTGTAATTTCTCTTGTACATGAGTTTGTCTTTTATTTCCCTTCGCGTCAGTATCGTAATTCCCTGCTATAGCCAAAATCTCACATTCAAAACTTTTTATTTTTACAAATAAGATATGTCGAAATCTATTGACTTCATTTAGCATCGGTTTGAATAACTCATAGAAAGTGATAATTGAAAAAAGAAAAAAAATTCTTTAATATAAAATCTGTCATTAAAACGCTTCTTTGTACAAATCTTAGAAACTTATTTTCTTAAAGGGTGAATTAACTTTCCTCAAAAATAAAAGTAGTTAGGAAAATAAGCAATTTTGGAACAATAAAAATTCATCAGTAGAAAAACCGGATCATTTTATTTTTCGTCCATTTTTATTATTAAATAAAAATGGGAGAAAAATAAAATTACAATTACAGAAGAATTCGATGAGAAAATTAATTCGGATACGACGTGAAATCTTTTCCTAGGAGCTTCTTGGTTTTATTTTATACATGATACCAGTTGTCCTGGGTATGACGATAAACAAAATCCAGCAGCAAGGTCTTTGATCGGGAGGTTTTGAGAAGCGTGGAACCACTTTTTAATTACTCTTAATTCCCAGGTCCACTCTGATCCGAGGTACTAGCATCTGTTAGTATCCCAGGTATCGGCAAATAGCTAAGCTCCAAACTAAAATCAAAACACTAAGAAAGTATTAAAAAAATCATAGTAAAATACCAGCAATACATTTTCATAGTAAAAACTATTGCCAGCAATACATTTCTGTAATAAAAGAAATTACCAGCAATACTTTTGTCAAAGTAATTACTAATGCTCCAAAGAATATTAAATTTCCGCATTAAATGACCCATAAGTGTTTGATATGCCGCTAAACAAACAAACAAGTTTGATGACACACAATGCTATATTTAGCTCACATAGCAAGCAATTATTACTGTAATAAGTCCGATTCTCACTCGGTGTTACAATGATTCGAAACTCAGTGTTACAAACCAATTCGGTGCTCTTTGGCTGCAACTCAAACAAAACAAATGATTGAATAGTGAGTTCGGTCCTCACTGAGTGCTCCATGCTTTCAGCCTTGTGCCACATCTACGTTACGCTTAGAAAATCATGAGCACTTCAAAGTGGGGTAATGGTTAGTAAACTAATCTCACTAGATTTAATTACGACGGAGTAGGGAATTCGATCCTCACTGGGTGTTCCATTATTTGGCCTTGTGCCACATCTAAGCTACGCTTAGAAAATCAATATATGTAGTAAGCTTAGATTGTTAGTCTTATTTTGGGGGGGATATCCGCAGAAAGATAGTGTTGCGCCAATCTTCCAAGTGGAGAAAATCTACTTCCTTCGTAATCATTGCTTTTAGGCTGGCTCGGACGTCGGTTGCTGGCGCCAGTAGGAAATACGGAACTATCTGAATGCTGTAGGTTGAAATATATTAGGTGTGTGCAAAAGTTTTCTGCGAGAAATTCCGTCTCTAGTTTTCACAAAAGGATCACTGAGAATTTTTCTACACATCTGATACTTTATATTACAGATAGTAACAAGGGCAAGTAGGAGACTCTATGGATAAGAAGATTGTGTTGTGTCAATGTAGATACATTATCTTTAAAGTCGGGAGGGCTTGTCTGCCTTCTGCGAAGATCAGCATTGTTTTTTTTACCAGGATTCGAACTCCAATAAGGCTAGTGCAGCAGTGTGGCTAAAATGAGATAGGAACATCTCCCAATTTTCAAAATGTAACGGAAGATTCCTGCTTTGAAAATCAGATCCCGGCCTTCAGAAACACAGCTACCAATTAAACCACAAAACGGATAGCAAGGACAACTGCTCACTGGAACTTATCCTGACTCATCATTAGTTGCATAGTTTTAATCGTTGATTAGTGACCTCCTATCTATAATATCACTTCAAAGAACGCAATGTAATGAGTGGATACTTTTATTTTTTAAGTGCGTCTTCTAGACTGCAAAATACTTTTACTCTCGTCCAGCGATCTACGAACTTTTCAGTATGGAGGCCATATCGTATTTTTTTACACATTTTTTTGCTGATCAAGGAAAAAGTCATTTTTATTGATGAATGAACGATTTCTTTTAATCAACATGAGATGAGCAAACAAAAAAAAAAAAAAACGACGATTGCACAGAAACGAAATATTGTGGAGAGACGCCGGATGTGTAGTTTGGAATGTGTTAGTTCTCGTCATTAAGGAAATGAATGCCAAATATTTCGACAACAAATAAAGACGTTATTGATTTTTGTTTTTTTTTAATTAACTGTTTTCAAGTTTATTGCGGAAAAAAGATTCACCTTGAATTTTGTGATAATAAAACAATAATATAGAAATCAAAAATCTCATGTTGGGACCAGATTTCATTAATTTATCTAAACAATATACAAGGATAAGTCAGTAAGCTTGGTACAATTGTTGATTTTTAATCTGAAATTTTTCTTATATAATGTTCGGTCTATAGAGAAGCGTCGATGTAAATATATTAACAAAAAAAATCATGTTCCAAAATAGTCTGATGGTTTAAAGCAATTTTTAGTGAATTTTGTGAGTTCAATCTCTGGGCCAGGTAGTGCAAACTTAGACTTAGTGGAAAGCGGGAAGAGCAATAACATATTGAGTCGTACTAAAATAAGAACTAGATAAGATATCTGTAGATATGAGCAGTGAGACGAGAACAATCTAACACCGGAGATTAAATAAAGAGTTCAGTTCGAAAATCCACGTAGGTTACCCAGATCGACATACAACTGATGAAGGCCGGAGGGCACAACGATCGAAACGTTATAACAACAATAAAGATAAAAACAATAGTCCCGGGTAAAAATAAAAAGATTATAAATTAAAATTAAAATAAAATAAATATTTGTTTTGTAAAATTATTTTTTTTTTTTGTTTTGTTTTGTTTTGTTGTTTAATTTGCGGTAGGGTGTCATAATGCTGTAGACATATTGACGAACTTACATTGATATGCAACCAGAATTCGAAATATCCAATACTGATTTTTTTTTTTAGACAGGCGGAACATGATCTTCCTGCGCTAGTTTCTATGCCCTGTACCGGACTATTCAAAGTTTAGTAAATATTTTGAGGACAAAGTAAATAAAAAAAAAATTCCTACAGAATGTAGTAACGGAAAGTGAGAAGAAAGGACTAAGCATAAATAAACTACAAGAAAACAGAATGCATGGTCATCAATAAGAGGGTGAGCCCGATGCAATTTACAGGTGGGGAACACGAGAATCAAGCAGACTTGGAAGTTTAAATATCTGGGAAGCGTTCTGACAGAGGACCGTAAATGCGACACTGAGATCCGTAGACGTATTGGGATGGCCAAGGGCACAATCCAAAATCTGGGCAGAGTATTGTGAGAGAAAAGGATTTCTTTGGTACCTAAGAAAAGAATATTGAGCTGTTACGTGACATCTGTCCTACTTCTTTACGGTAGCGAATGTTGGACGATTTCCTCAAAGATGAAGAAGAGACTCGAGGCGACAGAGATGTGGTTCTACAGAAGGATGCTAAGGATATAATTGGAACGAGCGTGCGAGCAACGATGAGGTCTTAGTGAGGATGCAAACAAGAAGGAGGCTTATACTTATCATCAGGAAGAGACAGCTGAAGTTCTTGGGACACATAATGAGGAAGTAGGGCCTGGAGAATCTGATACTCACAAGTTGAATAGAGGGAAAGAGAGACAAGGAAAAATAACGCGTGACATACCTAGCGGGCTTAAGCAAGTAGATAACAGAACGTGGTCTGGAGAAGGTGGCAGAGGGAAGGAACTTTTTGAGAGCAAGGGATAGAAGGAGGTGGAGAGCCATGATCGCCTACGTCGTGAAAGAACATGGTACATAGAAAGAAAGATTAGCGAACAAATTTCGCAAACTACAAGCGAATGGTGAAAAAAATCTCAGCTTTTAGGAAAGAGGTTGAACCGAGAACTTTCATTGGGTCGACCGTACATACATGCAGATTAACATCAACTAAATAAATACCTTTCCACAACTTAGGCAACTGTATAAGACTTTGTAGATTTATAATTGAATCACGGCCAGCAAAGTAACAGTTGAGAGAAGGTTCATATTACAGAACCCATTGTTTAATTAACATTCTTTTACTTTCTTTTTTTTTTTACCGAAACATGGGGTGATGGTTAACGTGCAGTCTAGAAGATCATTACTACTGTGTAGTGAATTTGGCCCACAGTGGACACCCTCTATCAGGCGAGTCTAATTTTCTATTTCATTCTATGGGTAATTGTCAGTACACTTTCATTTATTTGAACTGTTGTCTTCATCTGGATTATTTCTCTCAGAAGGTTTAGGTTAACTCATGGGTACGGTTTTCAGCCTCTTCAAAACAGTACCGTATGCGGGAATCATCAAGAAGTTCCCTGCTTGAGAAATCGACTATGGTGAAATTCGAACCCGGGTCAAACGGTCGTTCTTACCATTAGGCCATGCGATATCTATCTATCTATCTATCTATCTATCTATCTAGTTAGTTTATTTTTTATGTTGCTGTGTAAAATTTTTATATCTTGCACAAAAATATGTTTTATGTTACTATAGTGTAGCCCAATTTTTATATCTTGCACAAAAATAATTATTGTTAAATGCAAAGAACAAAATTTGTGTTCGTTTTTACAAGACTGCTGCGTGAACTTTTAAGGAATTTTTTTATTTTTTTAATTTTTTGTACCGTCTGGCTGGGTAACTTTTCTCGTGCGTGATAGAACTAGAAATAAATTATCAGACTAAACGCAAAAATACTTTCAGTTAACTTGGATACAAAATTCTATTTTGAAGTTATCAGGGGAATTTCAAAGATAAAATTCTGCCGTTGTTGATTTATATATATATATATATATATATATATATATATATATATATATATATATATATATATATTCAGTATTGTAACTGAACTGGACCAAATGTGTGAACCGTACGTTAACTTTTCAAGAAAACTCTATAGAATTTATGCGTAAAATCTGTATTTTATTTTTCTTGAAATTGTTTTAAAAGAAAGTTCTGTGTATCACCGATTAGAATTACTGTGTTTTAACCGAGTGTGAAAGTTAAAATAACCTGAAAAGATTTTGCTTAAATTTTGCCTTATTCTGTTAAAAAAAAAAATCTGTTTTCATCAAAAAGAATTAATATCCAGTATTCCCGCCTGGAGTTATTGTGTTAACGTTAAAATAGCCTGGGAAATTTTATGCGTAAAATTTTGCTATTCGTTCATTAAGAAAAAAAAATTATTGTATTTACTGAAGTAACAAAAATTCTGTTTTTATAAACAAAAACCTTTTTTTTTTTTACTTAACTTTAAGTATCTTTGGAAGTTTATCTAGAAATAGAGGAGATTTCTAGTCTATTAAAAAAGAGACATAGGTTCAAAGAAATGATTGAGTGGTCTATAAACTCGTTGAAGGCCAAAGAAAATATTCTAAAAGCCCATCACTCTGCTCAGGAACAAGCGATTAATAGGTGGTTAGATACCATGGAAACTATTACTGACCAAATAGATTATATTTACTTTGTTAGTAATATTGAACAATCAGAGTATGATGATTGTACTTATGAAGAATTCTGATATGTTGCTTTGGAAGAATTGCCAAGATAGGTGAAGAAATTGATGAATTAGTATCTTTGTTGATAACGATAATTCTGAAGTTTTTGATACTGTGGAAAATTCAGACAATGATAACTTATCTGGTATACTCTTTGAAATTGATGATTCCGAAATTTCTGACGCTGAATTATCTAGTGTCTTTTTTGGTTACAATAATTGTGATGCTTCTGATACTGTTAAAAATTCTGACAATGATGAGATGTCTGGTATCCTCTTTGAAATTGATGATTCTGAAATTTCTGACACTAATGGAATTTCTAGTTTCTTTGATAACGATAATTCTGAAGTTTTTGATACCGTGGAGAGTTCTGACAATGATAAGATGTCTGGTATATTCTTTGAAATTGAGGATTCGGAAATTACTGACACTTATGAAAATTGTGATATTTCCGACATTAATGAAGATTGTAATATTTCTGAAGCTGATAATATATCTACTAGTGTCATTAAAAATGAAAAGTCTAAGGAACATGAAGACAACTTGTATGTAAAATTGCCTTGGGAGGGGGAAAAAATTAAATCTGTCCCTTCAAACCATGCTGTAGCCATTCATGTAGAGAATGATGTTTCTCCTGATAGATTTGGCTACAGCTGGATACCTCATAGATCTGTGTTCGAATCTGAGGACCAAACAACTTCCAAAATAATTTTTAATTGTTCACTTGAGACAAAATGAGTTCCCTTCACTAAACGAAGCGGCCAACACTGGCATAAACCTAACCGAAAACATTTTCGAATTATTGCTATTCCATATGAAGAAATATGTATTTCTATCAGACATTAAAGTTGTGCTAATCATAACGATAAAGACTGAAGAATATAAGGATAGAATCTGTTTGATTTGTTAGCTTAGCACTACCGTAATTTGTGGCTTTGTTACCAGTCTATTTATATTGATTAAACATATTGTCAATAAGTTTCTTTATCAGGTTTACTAGTGTACGCAGGCCGATAGGACATAATACACACTCTTTAAAAAAAAACAAAAAAAAAACATGGCGACTATTTCGAACACGGGTATCTACTAAAAATAATGCTGGAAGGAATATATATATATATATATATTGATGCATGTTTCATTAAATAATATAGACTAGTTTTGTCAATTTATTTTATGTAAGTTCATATTGTCTGATAAGCTTAATAACATTATCATTGAAAGACGAAAGGAAATCACCATATTGATACATGTTTAAATTCAATCTAAGCTTTCGGCTTACATAAGCCATTATCAAAGATGACAATTACTTTTCAATATTTCAACCAATACACGGACGAAACAATAATGAATATAAAACAAATACTTATTAATAATAGCTTTCCAAACTATATAGTTGATAAACAAATAAAATGCTTTCTTAGAAGTCTTAATACTAAGCAAATAGAACATAATACTGCTTCAACTAATCTCAAACATATTAATCTCTTATATCGTAGTCAAATGCATACTAATTATAAACAAGATGAAAATATACTAAAAATAGTAAATACTAATATATCTACAACATATCCTAGCAAAAAATTAGGTTAATAATATACTACACTAAATCTAATATAATTTAATTTAATAACTTAATTATTCGCGATGATTCTTCCCCTGTCGCCGTTAGAGATTTGCAAAAAACCAACATGGTTTACAAATTCAAGTGCCCTTCGGGAGATTGTATCTCCAATGGATTAAATAATGTTTATGTTGGTCACACCACAAACTCGCTTTCACGACGCTTGACTATACATATGAATGATAAATCTAATATTTTAGGCATTTAAAACAACATGCCTGGCCGCGTACACAATTCAGCAAAATCCTAGTTGAAAACACAACTATACTTAAACATGAAATCAATAAACAAAAACTAAAAATTCTTGAAGCTATTTACATAAAACAGTTGAAACCTAACCTAAACAAAATAAACTACGAAATCTCCACAAATATTCTTAAATGCCTATAATTGATAACTGAAGCCATTGGTTTATACCAACGGCTTTCCATCCTTAATACTTCTCGTTTTCACTCTCGCGTGGTCATGTGTAACGTCACGAGCTACGATGCGATTTTCGCTTCCGCGTCTCGTATACACAAGTTAATCGTTGCTTTGAAATTTTTCATGCAAAAAAAACAGACTAACATTATTGTTTCGTTAGTGTATTGGTTGATATATTGAAAAGTAATTGTCATCTTTGATAATGGCTTATGTAAGCTGAAAGCTTAGATTGGATTTAAACATGTATCAATATGGTGATTTCCTTTCGTCTTTCAATGATAATGTTATTAAGCTTATCAGACAATATGAAAGGAACTTACTTAAAATAAATAGACAAAACTTGTCTATATTATTTAATGAAACATGCATCAATGAAAAATTGCTGCCTAAATATACACAATATATATATATATATATATATATATATATATATATATATATATATATATATATATATATATATATATATATATATATAATGAATCTACATATGTGTGTATGTGTCAGTTCGTCTACATATGTGTGTACGTGTGAGTACATGTTAGTATATCTACCGGGGCAAACAGCCGACCTGTAAAACGTCAAATCCATCCTCACCTGCCCCTACTAAGAGAACATTGCTACACATGAATTGCTACAATCCGCACACCGAAATAAACAGAATGAAAGTTGCGTAAATACGTGTGTTCGTACGTATGAATGTGTAACTACACCCAAGATTATGAATATGGATGTGTATGTACGAACTAACATTCACACGCCTGTATGTATGTGTGTCTATCTATATGTGACACAGAAGAAAATATTTCCCCCCGCCCTCCATCACACACAAATAATCAAACACAAATAATGCATAAATAGACCCACTTTTGAAAAAATAAACCAGTTTGTCTTCTATATGGTGGAAGGAGAAAATGATATATAAGATTTTATTTGCCAGAAAAATGTCACTTTAGTTCAATGAAGTTTCAAAAGAAGGAACGCATCGCACGAAATGGTTTTTCCACTTTGTCATTAATTTTCCTGATATTTGCATACCCTTTTGATCGCCAAAGGCGTAAAACTGATAGGCAGAATGTACACTTGATTTCTATCACCACACTCTTTGCCTACAAATTTTGTTTTCGTCAAATAAAACTTTGGTGCACTCGTCCGTCTATTCAAATGTAACAATTTTGGTTGTTGTAACAGAAGCCTTTAAATACGCGCTTTCGTTTCACACGTACCTGAAATTTATGACATGCATATATTCTGAAAGGTGACATTTCAATGTAACTGTTATGGGAACTTACCTATAACGATAATGGACTCTTCCTGACACTATAAATACTGCGCCTCTCAAGTGGTATAATGAATGAATGGTGTAACGAGCACCAGGTCATGACTGTTGAACTCTCTGCTTTGTCAGAGAGGAACCCGGACGAAGCTTTGCCGAAGGGCAAGGTTTCGTCCGGGGAGGTAGACAGGCCCTGAACCCGTCTAGGCGGGTTCAAAGGGTATATTTTTGGCCGAGCCTACGGGCTCGGGAAACCCACGTTAAACTCGACCTTATGCCACATGCAACCCTCGTGGGGTGGGGGCTAAATACCGAATGAATGGTGTAACGAGTCGAGACAATATTAGTTCACTCTAAACCAGATGGACAGTCATTAATAACAACTTCAACTTCTTGTACTATATTTCTGTTGTAATATATCTTTGTTATTCTACTCTTGTGTTTGTGTTGTTCTTCCTTGGTTCTAACCTTGAACCATAAATGTGGTACGAGGATATTAGGCCATAACAGTAACTTTCTACACAATTCCGACTAATATCCTGATTTTTGTTGATAATTTCATTAACTTCCATTTATGAGAGCTTTTCCCCAAAGAACTCCCACTTTGGGGCGCAGACTGACGAGTAAAAAAGAAAAGAAAAGTAAAGACTCTTGAAATCTAGAGTCAATCTGCCAATTATCCACGTAATCTTCACTTTTTACTTCCTTCTTTAATGTTCATATCTTCTTTCTATGTGCCATGTCCTTTCAGGATGTAGGCGATCATGGCTCTCCACCTCCTTCCTATCCCCTGCAGCTCTGAACAAGTTACTTCCCTTTGCAACCTCTCCCAGACCACGTTCTGTCTTCCACTTGCTTAAGTCCGCCAGGTATGTCACACATTGTTTTCCTTTGTCTTTCTTTCCCTGTATTCGAACCGTGAGTATCAGATTCTTCAGACCCTCTTTCCTCATTGTGTATCCCAGAAACTTCATGTTAATTATAAGCCTCTTCCTTGTTTGCAACCTCTCTAAGACCTCATCGTTGCTCACACGCTCGGTCCATGATATCCTTAAGCATCCTTCTGTAGAACCACATCTCTGTTGCCTCAAGTCTCTTCTTATTCTTTGAGGAAATCATTCAACATTCGCTGCCGTAAAGAAGGACAGGTGTTATTAAATTTTACCTTGAGCGGCTCTTGGTCTTTTTATTGGGTGAACTTTAATAAAATAAAAATAAAAATAGAAACTCTGAAAGTATAGAATCAATCTGCCATATCTTCACTTTTTACTTCCTCCTCTTATATTTATATTACACACCTCATTCAGTAATCCTCTACCTTGAGTGGCTCTCGAGTTTTGTATTAGGTAAACTTTAGTAAAATAAAAAATATGTCCATGTACCCAAATATTGATGCTACCTGAGGGGTCTGGAAAAGCAGTGAATAGGTGGAAAAAAATCAACATTTATATATTCTATCCTCCTGTTCACGATCCTCCTCCATCTTTTGAACAGGAGTAGAAGGCTATCTCTTGTTTCCTGTTTAGGGTTGAGTTTTTGCTTTTTTCTAAAGTATTTTTCAGTCTCTTCTACGACCAATAACCTCTTGCATCTTAGTGGCATTATCACCTTGCTTGGGGTGAACTGATTAAAAAAAAAGTCGGTTGAAAAACGCAAATTTTTCGTTAGAAACAAATAAAAAAGTGCTGGTACCCAGCCCTTTTGTTAAATGTCAACTCTTAGTTTTGTTTGTAAATTTTTATAATTATCATCAGATACTTTTTTCTATGATTTCTTTCTCATTTATTGATTATTGATTATTTATTCAGGCATTAATAAAATCATGTACTTTGCTTATTTGGTGATTTTTCAGATACTTGCCGACAATTCCTCCGTGAAGTATTCTTGAAAGTGTCAGGGCAACGAAATGCCATCTCGTCTCAGTGACATCGTATCTGCACGGTCTTCAAGAAAATGGCTAATATTAGGCATTGGCCTGGTTTCAGTGGTCATCATATGTGTTTCCATATCAGTGCCTCTGGCCACAGCAGCTAGAAGAAACAGGGAGGCATCAAGCCTGGACATTGCCAACAGAATCTTGGAAAAGTTTCCTCTCATTGATGGGTGAGTTGAAATACTGTTTCTTTTACCTTACGACTATGACACATACTTGGCATTTATTTATTTTTTTTACTATTTCATCATTTTTTTTTTTCTTTGAAAATTGGTTGGATACCTTTTCTTACCTACAAACAAGGGAATGCATATATGAATCCAATGAATGATTGAAAGCCATCGATCACAAACATTTAAATAATATATATTTTTGGAGGTAGACATCTGCCTTGATTTGCTGTAGCGTCACGAGTTCCATAACGTATTTGGTTTATAGAGTCAACACTTGTAGCGCAGCAGCAGCAGTGGTATGTCGAGATTCTAGGTCAAGCTAGACTGACGTCGCCCATACCTCATCAGGCTGGTTTAGAATTCAGTTTTCCTTCTCCTACACTGCTTGCCACACCCAAAGGAAAGAGAGCTCAGTTTGCCCCACTATTTAACCCGTAACTAGAGGTAAGCGGATTCATGCCTTTTCCAAGGGAATTATCGCGAAGTGAAAGAAACGGAATCGACGACAGTTTGAACTCTGCTCGCCATTTTCATTTTTCACCTTGAATAACGTAGCCCTATCCAGCATCATGCGTTCTCGTTTACATAAACAAGAAGGATTAAATGCTTAATTAATTAATTCTTTGTCTATTGTCTTTAATCATATTTGTATTAATGAAAGACTGTTGCCGAAATATACATTTTTGGCATTTGTACTCGTCTCTCTAACTCCATAAAAATGAATTAAAATTTCTTTTCTTAAATCTCGAATAGAAGGGTAGGTTTGAACAAAAGGGTAGGTTCGGAAACTCAATCAAAAATTATTTGTCTTCAAAACAAAAATAACCGAAAAAGAGATTGGAAGATACTGACAGGTTACAAAATAAAAATAAACTGTGAGTCTAGAATGACAGTCGACAGGTGGAAAAAATTAAAATTTAAATATTCGGCCAAATCCGTCTATTCTGAACGTGAGTGTATATTGGGTTGTAGTAAGGGAATGAATTTTTGAAAGCTCCCAAGAGAAAATTTTTAACCAAATAATTACAACAGAATGGTGTCAAATAGTAGGACTTTTATTACTTTTTGCGCTTGCTGAATATTTTTCTTGTTTGGACCCAAATTGCTGATTTTAGAATTTTATCCATTTTTTTTTTTTTTTTTTTTTTTTTTTGATTTGTGATTTAATGGGATTTTATGTTAGGCTTTTAGTAAAATTTATTCACCTTAAAAATAATTTAAAACACGTGTTTGCTTTTTCTCCAAGTCTAACGGAATCTAGAATCTACCAATAATGGCTGGCCGCTCATGTTCGAGTATGCTTGCTTGCTAGGACGGTTAGCCAATCTCTGTTGCAGACGCCTGCTCAAGCACACTTGTGTTTGTTCAACACCGACAGACCCCCCACTTGTGGTTTATACTGCAACTATGATGAGCGGGCTTTAGGTTCAGTTTCTGGGAGAGGGCGCTTTATCTGGCATGATCATCATGAACAAGGCTGGTAGGTTTAAACCCTCGGTCACGATGACTTGTGACTTCGTGCTAGCACAACCCAATTTCACTCGCAACCCGTGGTATGGTTTTCAGGCACTTTCCACGCTGAGATTGCTTCCCCAGACCGATAACATCAAGAAATTACCTTCTTGTCAGATCGACCATGATGAGTTTCGAACCTGGGTCTCAAAAACGGACGTTCCACACACCCATATTAAAATCTACCCTTAACACACAAATGTGCGAAACTAGCGAATGTGTTTCAATCTTTCTACTAACACCGGTTCTCATTCGATCACCGAAGTTAAGCAACGTTGAATCCGGTTAGTACTTACATGAGTGATCGCTCGGAATACCAGGTGCTGTAAGCTTGGATGTGCGGGTGGTGTAATAGATTACTGCTCGGAATGAGAAATCAGAGAGCCGCGTTCGAATTCCAGTCGGATTCTTTATATTCACTTACGTGTAAATAACCTTGAGAAAGATATGACTCCGCCTCTTCTGCTCCCAGCGATGGGTTAAGTAGTAAGACTTGTATCAGAAAATTATTATTATCTTCAAAAGGTTCTTACAATCGCAAATTATGTTTCCGCTTTAGATAACCTTAAAAAGGTTGATAAACCATAAAAAAAAATCAATAACTCAATCTTTCTACTGTTTACATACTACAGGTTATTTATGTCCTTTGTGAGAAAAGGTTCTACGTGTGAGACTGACATAAGAGTTTCATTATCACATATTTGGTTTGGAACAACTCTAAATTAAGTGTTATTACATTCAGGCCTCAATTTCCAAAACCTTCGATACCCATGTATGAACAAAATATCTTTTTCATTTTAAACTTTTAAACTTCATTTTCTTATTGAGGCATGAATAGCCTTAAGAATAACCTTAAGAATAACCTTAAGTAATAATAATAAAAAGAATAATGATATTGCAAAAAATAAAAATCCTTATACAAGTTCATAAATTTTAACGATCGTCGATGAAATTCATAAAACCAATCTTTTATCAAAAATATCTATTGAGACCAACAAGTAGGTTGAGAGAAAGTTGTACACTAAACAGACAACACTTTTGTTAAAATTTAAAAAAATGTTTTGAACTGTGAGGCGGTAAGGAATAATGCATAGAAGAAAAAGATTTTTTTTGCATAAACATGTTTCGTATTTTTCATGAGTAAAGTTTCTCGAAAATTCAGGCCGAAATTCTGTTTAATAAAGAAATACAGCACCTACTCAAATACGAATATCCACTAAAAATAGCGTTTAAAAAAATATATATATATATATATATATATATATATATATATATATATATATATATATTGATTGACTGATTGATTTTATGGCAGATCAAACAGTTTCAGGTTATTTAAAGCCAGGAAATATTTTTAGATTGTAAGAATTTTTAGGAAGATATTGATGATTCTCAAATATAAGTCCTACTAATTAACTTATGGAGAAGAGTTAAATTACATCTAGGTACTGACCGGACTCGACCTTGCCTAACTTCAGTAATTGTACGGTAGCCGCTGTTTCAACGTAATATGGCAGGAAGCTATATATATATATATATATATATATATATATATATATATATATATATATATATTATTGGTATACATTATTTTGTCGGACTTAATCCATTTCATAATGAAAATTTCTCGGACATTCAGGCCGGTAAATGTTATTTAATACTGTTTATTATAAACAGAGCATTTACTTAAATACTAATATATGACGTCATTTGTTTACATTTGATACGCCAGAGCAGTTATGAATGTGCGAGATTCATGGAAGATTGAAGTTTATAAGCAGTAAATTCGACCTTGTCTACCGAACGCTTCTTTGTGGCCGATCGGTAAGGCACGTCAGCGTAAATGACGGTTCCGCATAGGATGCAGGTTCGAATCCTGTCAAAGAACGAATATTTTCTATGAAAATTTCTGGGACATTCACGCCGGTAAATGTTATTTAATACTGTTTATTATAAACAGAGCATTTACTTAAATACTTGTATCTATAAAAAAGAACGTTAAACATAAAAATGTCTTTAATAAATAAATTGTCGGACTTTGTCCATTTCTTAATATATATATATATATATAACATTGTTAGGCAATTGACAACAAATTTTGAAAAATCTGTGTAGCACGTTTCGTCCACTAAAAGGACTTCATCAGGCTAAAATAATATTCATATTGATCTGTAGCGGAGAGGGTGAGATATAAACGTTTCTGTATTAATTAAGTCTCTTATTAATTTTGAAAACGTATTCCACAGAAATTTTTAATATGTATTATTCTGGTGGGAATTAAATAACACTTGACATAATAATCTTAGGCAAAAATGATTAATTTTTTAATAATTTAACATAATTCTTCTTCTATGTACTGTGCCCCTTCAGATCGTGGAGAATCATGGCTCTCCACAACGTTCTTTTCTTTTATTAAGGCTTATCATTTCGCTATCTCTCCTTATCCCTGTTCTGCCACCATTTATACAAGCTCGTTAGGTAATTTATTCAGTGTTTTCCCCTGCCCCTATTGCTTTCGGTATCTCCTGTGAGTGTCAAATTTTCCAAGCCCTCTTTCCTCATTATGTGGCCTAAAAATTTCAACTGTCTCTTGCTGATATTAAGTATAAGTGTCTTTTTTGTTTACATTTTCTCTAAAACTTCGTCGTTGCTTACATGTTCAGTCCATATTCTCAGCATCCTTCTGTAGAACCATATTTCTGTTCTTTCCAGTCACTTCTTCATTGGCAAGGAGATTGTCCAGTGTTCATTGCCATATAGAAAGACTTGTATTACACTAGATTTCAGCACTTTGTTTCTAACGAAATTTTTCTAGCATACAAAAAAGTCGTCACATAAAATATTATCTGAACCAACCATTTTAAACATCGCTTAATCGAATTCCTCTTTCATCGAACCAGAAGCGGTAGCTACTGACTACTGAACGCTATACGTACTGTCTGATTTTAGTTTTTCGCCATTTTTACTCTATATATCGTTTACAAATGTCATATTATTTTATAGTGAAAAGAGTTTATTGCAAATTGGATTTACACATCAGAGAATCACATTTCCAATTGTCTGTATCTGCTTATGTTTCAAATATTCATTACAAAAGGTATAAACTCAATAAATCTCCCTAAAACACGGCTTACACTCAAATCATACTGAAGACACCGGTTCTCGTTCGACTGCTGAAGTTAAGAAATGTCGAGCCCGATCAGTGCTTAAATGAGTGACCGCTTGAGAACACCGAGTACTGCAACATACTAAAATCCGAAATACATTTCGGTTTCAAATAATCCACAAAAGGTTGATACACCGTAAAAAATAGGTCAGTCAATCCATCCCCCGAAATTCAAAATGTTATATGATTTATTGAAATAAATATGTTCAACTTAATAACTAAATATATTTTAAATTTAGTACTGAATATTTTTTATAGAGTAGTCAATGCATATCTTGCTACTGAGGAGTCAATGTTAGTAATATACACCCTTGTGCAGATTAATTCAAACGAATAATTCCGTTATTATTTACTTCTTTCGTATTTTTCCAATGAACATGACCCAGTGCGCATGTTAGTACGTATGTCCATTCCACAATGTCGTTCCTTGCAGACTGACCACAGATTCTGGATTGGATTTGAATCAGGAGAGTTTCCTGGCCAGTCTATATTACTTTGATTTGCTCACTGATAAGGTTTGCCAGTGTGTTCATGTAGCGTTACAATTTTCCTACACTATCTTGGAGTAACGTCCATCGCAGACAATGGCTATAGGACAACTAATTGACAATCGAGACAATAGTGATGCAATCACTGATGACGCAATATTTTTCAAGGCCAAACAAATTTCATCATACACCGCGAAAATAGATTCATATTACTGCACACCACTGCAAATGACCTAATCTGAGGAAAAAATAGAAATCGATTACACCCTGTCATTCCTGTGGTTCTAAAACTGACCATATGATGAAAGAAAGGAAACTAAAATGGTTGTTTCAATTAATTTGCACAAGGGTGTATATGGTAATAGTGGAATTAGCCGTTTCTATACAGGAAACATTCGGTACTCACTGATGAAACTGAGTTACTGTCCGTTGAAATTTATAAAATCTTTCTTAAAAGAGTTTTTTTTAGGAAATTAAACTTCTCAAGTCATATATTATCGCTCTTCTCTAGTATTGATTGAGAGTTTCCTTGCAAACCTTTTGTTTTTGGTCTTGTGGAAGGTTAACGTCAGTATATCATTATTTTCCCTTCTAGGTACATTTTTGTTGTTGTTGGATGTGTTCAGGCGATGTGTTTTTCTTTTTTGTTATTTGGTAAAACTCTTTGCTACATTCAGTTAAGTGGGTTTAATGAAGGATTGTTTTCATTATGATTGACTACATGAGACTTAGTAAGCATTACTTATTAATAAGTATTAGTTTTTAGATTCAGCGTATTTTTAAAACGTAATTTTTTTTTTTGTTTTCTTTTGGTTTATTTTATTTTATTTTTTTCACCCAACAGTATTATTTTTGCACCAACAATCAACTGAAAAAATTTAAATAAATTATCAATGTACGTATATTAACAGATATCCCCCTTTGAATGTGCACGTCTCATTTCGAACCAACCGGTAAAGTGAACAGAAAATATAGCAAAGCAATCAAGAATTATATGTGAAATTGTTTGCGTTGGTGGATATGCGTGTGTGTTTGAGATAGAGTGGGGGAAGAGAGAGGAGAGTCGACTCAGTGTTTTGCAAAGTGAAAGAGAAATTTCTGCTTTGAAATTCCACCGTGTCTGCTCATGTATCCTCTGGAGAATGCAGTAAAAAAGAAATTGATCATGCATACAATTGAATTAGAATCATTCAACCATGTCGGCCTTTTCCCTCTTTTTTTTTTTTACTTTTATCTGAAACTCTTCATGAAAACATTGGAATAGAAAAAAATGTCTTGGGAATATTTTATGAAATTTTTCGTCATTTCTCGTAAATTTCTGTTATATCCTTTCTTTTATATTTTTTTCTTGTCCTTTTTTCCTTTCATTTTTTTACCTTTCATATATATATATATATATATATATATATATATATATATATATATATATATATATATATATATACGTGTTTTTTAGTGGACTCAGCAGTTTTTCAATCTGCTTGTCTGAATTATCTTCAAGAAGCGAGAGCAAGATCTAAAAAAGGTCAGCCAATCTAACAGTCATCTCATCTCACAATCCTCACTCTTGCTCCATATTATGTGGCCTTCTTTGTAAATCACTAGCGGGTCTTAAGTGCAACTTAAGATTATCGCACAAAATTTCATAAATGAATCAATTAGGCTGTCAGATTCTCATACGTCGAAACCGACGGGGGAGTCCATTATAAATATATATATATATATATATATATATATATATATATATATATATTCAAACACAACATGAACTTCGAACATATATATGAGAATCATTGAAGTTCTCGTTCAAGCCCATTCTCCAAATCTATTTTTAGGGGCTTCTTAGTCTATCCGATGATTTTCAGTATCCCATCCTATGTTTTTTAACCTGTCTCTCAGATATCTAATGAGGTATGTTTACGTCCAAACTATGCTGATGGCACCGGTTCCCTTTCGATCACAGATGTTAAGCAAAGTCTGTTTGGTATTTAATGTGAAGTCACTTGAGAACAAATGATACTGTCAGCAACTACAGAGGTCCTATCATCGTGATATGCACCATGAAATTACGACCTCGACCCGTGTCTTTCCATCAGATTACTCAACGCAGCTAGACCAATTATTTTGGCTGGTTCTTGTCATTGGATCATGTCAGTCTGATACTGAAAAGCTACAGTGTTACGCAAGCTATCAATGACAATAAACAATTACGCATGCACTATCCAAACGATCCTCATTAAGTTTTGTTTTATCCTTAAAGAGGTTACAGACAAAAGTGGTACTCGAGTGATGGAACAGCAACACGCGCGTAGATGAAAGAAAGAGAGGTTTATTGTAAAAGAGAATACACTATTGAAAAACAGAGAATCGGCTGGCAGGCTAGTAATTCCCGAAGCAAGGATATCTAACAACCGCCCCACGCGGTCAGATGTGGCACAAGGCCGAATTTAACGTGGAGTATCCGAGCCCATAGGCCCGGACAAAAATTCTCCGTATAAAAAGGGGCCGGGTAGCTGTTTCCCGAGAAGAGACTCTGCTCCTTGACATAGCCTCATTTTGGGGATCCTCACTGCCCGGAGAGTTTGACCAGCACAGCTGAAGACGAATCTACAACTAATTCCCGAAGTAAGGGTATTTACCTTACCTCCACGTGATGTGGCACAAGGCCGTTTTGTAATGCGGGGCAAAACCGAGCCCGTAGGTTCGGGCAAACATTTCCCCGAGGACCCCGTATACACGGGGTCGGGTAGCTGTCTACCACCCCAGACGAGACTCTGCCCTTCGGTATAGCCCCGTCTGGGTTCCTCTCTCCCTGAAGGTAGAGAGTTCTCCAAGCACAGCTGTAGACCAATCTCCGACTAATTCCTGAAGCAAGCTCCCAATTATATCCTGTGCTCACTATATGTAGCTACTGATATAGTCAGTTCACATAGGTGATAGGGAGTGTGGGACATTCAATTACAACAGGTTTTTAATTGAGTTTTCCTTCTTCTGGACCGGTTGATGACAAATGCTATAGGGTTCAGTTTTTCTTACTATTTATCCATAGTTGGGAGGAAGAAGGGATATTTTGATGCTTTCCCCAAGGTTGTTTGCACGTAATTGAATGTAACAAATTTGACTGGAATTCGAACTCGGCTCTCTGATTTCTCAAATCGAGTTGATATCCATTTCACAATATCCATAATCCATTAAGTGTGTGTGTGTGTGTTTGTGTGTGTGTGTGTGTGTATATATATTCAAATCATGCTGAAGAGACCATTTCCTGTTTTTAATTTCAAATAATATATATTCAAATCATGCTGATCAGTACTTAAAAAGGTGATTGCTTGTGGACATCTGATACTGTTAGCAATGCCAATGATTATATTGTAATATAATTTGAACATTAAGGATCATACTAGTCTCTTATCATCAGACTAGTGAAACCATATGCTGCACATACAGTCTCCAATTACATTGAATGTTTCTTGTCATTGGATCAAGGCTGTCTGGTGATGAATGTTTATATAGTGTTGCGCAAGTTATGAATGACTATAAACAATCGCGCGGGTCTTCGGGAGTTAGAAGGAACCACCTCACCCGCCGTGACCGGTTAGATAGTCATCCTATTTGAGAAGATATAATGTAGGTATAAAAGTTATGCTCAGTAAACTATAATGACATATATAAAATTATTGCAAATTTTTTCAACTTTTCTTAAATAACAGACTCTCTCTTTATGTGCCGTGTCCCCACAAGTCGTAGGCGATCATTGCTCTCCACAATTTCCTGTCCCTTGCACCTCTAAATAAACTCTGGATTTTCTTTATTTCTAAACCCTGTTCCGCCATCAAGTATGTTATGCGTTGTTTTCCTCTGTTCCTCTTGTCCTCAATCCGTCCTGTGGGTAACAGATTTTCTAAGCCATCCTTCCTCATTATATACTCCAGAAATATCAACTGTCTTTTCCTGATGTTAAGTATCAGTCAGTTATGTGCCATGCGTAATACACACTTAGGTAATAATATATATTTCGATACATGACTGCCGAGGCAGATTTTTTCCCGCAGTAGGTTGCCATTTCTTTCTGCTGTAGACCATTTGCCATCCAAGGCTATAGAACCCGGTCTGTCCTGCTATTTACCCATAGAAGAAGGGGATTCATACCTTTCCCAAGGGTATTAGCCCGTAAGTGAATGTAGTGGTTTCGACTGGAATTCGAACTCGGCTCTCCGATTCCTCAATCCGAGCCGCTATCTATTACTCCACCGTGCCTCATAAGTTTCCTTTTTGTTTCCATTTTCTCTAAAACCTCGACGTTGCTCACATGATTGGTTCATGGTATCCTCAGCATCTTACTGTAGAACCACATTTCTGTTGCTTCAAGTCTCTTCATCTTTGCGGAAGTTTTCCAGAGCGGATTTAATTAGGCTTCATTTCTTTGCACAAAAATTCTAACTGCAATAAAACAAATGGTACTATTTACTTGTAGTGATAGTAGTCTAAGTATAATTGTTTAGGTCTTCTCTTATTAGTACAATATATCGACGTCAAAAACAAAGCATAAACACTGTTTCAAATGTTGGCGTTGAAAATTATTCTTTAAT